ATACGCGCTTTGCGCGTGTACCTAAGTTACTAAGTATACAACTTTTTAGAGAACCGTACAAGTACTACTAAATAATATATTTGTATTTTAAAATAAACATTATCTTATACTCCTTAAAATATACGTAGTTTTAGTTGAAAATGCTTATTTATAAAACCTTCAATGTTAGTTTTTCTTTTTTAATTTTCTTTCACCGCCAATACTATTCTTATGAAAATAAATTTGGGCATCCTAAAAGTTTTGTCAACTTGAAAAAATAATTTTAATTATATGATGAATTTGACAAATAATTAAATTGGATACTTAGACTTAATTATTTGGTCTTAATATCAAAGGAACTAATTTATTTTTTATTGATTCAAATTCTTAAAATCTTTTTTTTTTGGTAAAAATAGGGAAATATTCATATATATTAAGTCATTACAGGGACATTGGACGTCCCATTACAGCTGCTTTGAGTAGATAGTACACATAGGTTTCCAAGACTAGCAAACGTAGTAGAATAGATATGGAGATTGTTCTAGTAGACAGCACGCCTTCTTTGTCTGATTGTAAGGTTGAAAATACAGACGTAGGCGGATAATTTATAATATATATATTATCACTTGACTGCTTCTTAGACCTTTCATTTGCCAAAGCATGCGCTGTTTTGTTCCCCTCCCGGAAGCTATGCCAGATGACTGGATTCCCTAATCTCTTCAACTGAGACCTGCAAGAGTCGATTAAGTTGTTAAAAATAGGGATTTTTTGATTTAATAGTTCAATTACCTCGATAGAGTCCGTCTCAATTTCCACCGGAGTTAGTTGGTTGGCTATTACTAGATGTAACCCGTGCTCTAAGGCACTTAGTTCGGCATGAGTGTGGTTGAGTGCACAGATCTTTTTGGAGAATTCTATGACCCATTCCCCATTTGCATTTCTTATAACACCTCCAATACCACCAGTCTTGTCTTTAGCGTAGTAGGAGCCATCTGTGTTAAGCTTAAAGGATCCTGGAGGTGGAGGGAACCACCTGACTTGGATATTTTTAGTAGGAATGGGAGTGGTGGAACTCCCTGTACAGAACATGTATTCCATGGCCCTCGTACACACAGTTTTAATATCAACAAACATGTTAGTTCCATTAAAGACATTATGGTTCCTGTTTGTCCAAATGTGCCACAGGGCGAAGGGAAAGAAGAAGTCCCAGGGTAGGGGGTAGTTAAGGATGGGAATATTTATGTCCTTAATTAATTGAAGCCAGTGAATATGGTGATAGGGGAGGACAGAGACATTTAATCCAAGGTCCAGCCAGAATTTTCGTGCCGTAAGGCACTCAAGAAAGATGTGGTGGATAGATTCTGAGGGATGCTTGCAAATAATACAATTAGAGGTTACATTGACACCTATACGATGTAGGTAGTTATTTGTAGGTAGCTTATTATGAGAACAAAGCCATAGAAAGAATTGGATCTTTGGCAATGTATTTAGAGTCCATATCCAGTTAAAGTCATACTCATAGTCAGGCGCGGGATGTAGTAGATTATTAACTGACTTTGTGAAAAAAATACCATTTGTATTTAAAGACCAGTAGGAGGTGTCAACCTTATCCTGGCTCAAATAGATTGCCTTAGCTTGATTGAGAAATTCTTGTGGGATTTCTATAGAGATTCTTGACCAATCCCACTGGAGGCCATCCCAAATGTTGTATAAACTAAGTCTTTGGTCGTTTTGGGTCAAGGGACCTTGAATAATTGAACGGAGGGGTGGTGATTGTGGAATCCATCTAGAGTTCCATAAGTCGATATTAGTTCCTGACCCTGGGTCCCATGCTATAGCTTTAGAGCATATGGCACCACCCATTAAAATACTTTTCCAAATAAAAGAATGGGAGGATGGGTTGCTTTTTGGACAATATTTTTTAATCAGGGTTTGTGCCCAAAGGGAAGTGTGTTGAGAGAAGAGTCTCCAAGCTAAACTTGTTAGAAAAGTCATGTTTTTATCAAGAGCTTTTTGAATGCCTAAACCACCTTGGTCCTTTGGTAGAGTGACAGTGTCCTAGTTTATATAGTGAATCTTCTTTTTTTGAGGGGTAGTGCCCCATAGAAAATTCCTTTGTATTTTGTCAATATTGTGACAAGTTTTTTTAGGAAGAAGGAAGTATTGCATGGCATAAGCTGAAATGGTGTTGAGAGTAGATTTGATGAGAGTGAGTCGACCCGCTGGAGTTAGGAAGTTTAGTTTCCAGTTAGCGAGTTTACTATTCATACTGTCTATGATGTATTGGAAATCATGGGGTCTAGGCTTATTATTAAGAATGGGAAACCCAAGATGTTTGGCAAAAGTATTGGTAGCTTTTATTTTTAAAAGATTTTGAATTAGTTCACGAGGAGTTTCTTGGCAGCCCTTTGAAAATATAACCCTAGATTTGGTAGGGTTGATTTTTTGCCCTGATAAGGTGCAAAAATGGAGGCAGCTATTGATTGATTGAATTGATTTCTGGTTAGCTTTAGCTATAAGGGTAAGATCATCTGCAAAGAACAGATGTGACCATTTTTGTTAAGGGTGATGGGATCCCAGAGTTGGAGATCAACTTGATGGTTAATATAGGTGGATAGAAGTTCCGTGCATAGGATAAAGATGTACGGGGACATAGGATCTCCTTGACGAATACCCCATGAGGGAGAAAAATAGTTGGTTTTGGTACCATTGACGAGGATAGCAATGTTGCTTGTAGTAATGCAGTTTAAAATGAGCTTAGAGATTTTTGGGGGGAATTTAAAAACCTGAAGAGTACGATAGACAAAGGACCACTCAATAAGGTCAAATGCTTTTTAAGGTCTATTTTTATAATAAACTTGCCCTCAGTCCCCCTAGTTTTATTAATATGGTTCATGACTTCCTGGACGAGGATAGCATTATCGCAAGTCCTACGTCCTTTGAGGAAGCTAGTTTGGCAAGGGCCAATAAGGTCAGGCAAATATAACTTGATGCGATTTGCAATGATTTTTGTAATTATCTTATAGACGGTATTGCAATGGCCAATGGGCCGGTAATTCTTGAGGTCATTAGCATTATGGAATTTGGGGATAAGACAAAGATATGTATTATTTATGGGGGCAGGTAATTCCTGGGTATTAAAGACATGTCTATAAAGATTTATTATGGAATTCCCAACTATATTCCAGTATTTCTGAAAAAAGAAGGGGTGCAGACCATCTGGACCCGGCGCTTTAAAAGATTTAAAGGAGAATAGAGCTTGGGTGACCTCATTGTCTAGTAAGGGTTATCCAAAGGGGAGAGGTCGATATTATGGAAACTCGAAGGAGTAATTTTAATACTTCTCCAGTCAGTACTTGAGTGACTGGTAGTGTAGATTGCTTTAAAATAATTGCTAGTATAATTAACTAGGCTGTCATGGTCAGTGATCCAATTACCATGCTCATCCTTAAAAAAAGATACTTTATTCCTTCTTCTTCGGTTGATAAGGGACAAATGGTAGAACCTAGTGTTAGCATCACCATTATTTAACCAATTAATTCTAGACCTAATTTTCCAAAAATCCTCTTCCATTCGAAGAATATTATTGTACTCAGTGGTAAGGGTTTTTTCTAGGGACTGGAGAAAAGTACTAGTGGTGTAAGCTTGTGAACGTTGAATACCATTTAATCTAGCCAATATTTTATTTTTTCTATGAAAAATGTTTCCAAATGTGTCTCTATTCTAGGAGGTAACTTTATGGGTAAAGAATTCAGTTGCCTCAGCAAAATCCCTATGCTGCCAACTTTCTTTAATAATATTCTCAAATTCTGGATGAGAGCTCCAGTAAGTTTCTAGACGGAAAGGTTTTATAATAGTATTAGGAGGCTGTCTGATGATATTATTAATTTTAATAAGAAGGGGGTTATGGTCAGAATAGGTTTTAGGTAGATGAGTGATGGATACATTAGGATAGTTGACGAGCCAATCTTCATTGGCAAAACAACGGTCCAATCTTTCAAGAATTAAACCCTTATTATGCCTACGATGGTTAGACCAAGTATAACGACCTCCTTTAAAACCCAAATCAATTAACTTGCAAAAATTAACGCAAGACCAAAATCTAGTGGAACATGACCTATTGATCCTTCTGCCTCCAAACTTTTCTTCTTGTCTAAGGATATCATTAAAATCCCCCGCGACTAGCCAAGGGCCGTTATAACTAGTAGATATATTTTCTAGATTTTCCCAAAGTTTTCTACGATTCACAGCTTTCGTACTAGCGTATATGGTACTAAATAACCAAGGGGGATGATTTGGATTTACCTGAATCATGGCATGCAGTTCCTGAGTGGACTGTCTAAGACGAGTGATAGTCACCATGCTGGTAACCCAAAGGAGAACAATTCCTCCTGCTCTTCCTTGAGCAGGGACCTCCATCATGTCATCAAAGTGGAAATCGTCTATGAGGGTTGCATGATCTTCCATTTTTGTTTCCAACAGGGCGACCATGCATGGAGTGTGAGTATAGATGAGGTCCCTAATTCCTCCTGAAAGTATCATTGTTTGCCCCCTGGTGTTCCAAACAATAAAGCTAGTAGGCTTATTCATGGGAATCGTTTGATTGTGGAGATGCATTGAGACTGGGTTCTCCTGCATTGAGAACTGGCTTCGCCTCAGAGTTGGGGTTAACAATACCGCATATTTTGCGGCAGCTCTGTTCACTGCTGGTCGCAGATCGAACGAGCACTTCATGAGTGCCACAGGGCAATTGTAAATGAACTTTTTGTCCTCTCTCTCCGGGAACATCATAAGGGCTGCTTCTCTGAGGTTTGAGATTTCGGTGAACGAGCTTGTGGGCAGTGGGATGTCCATGATATCTTCCTCCATCTCTATTTCTTCTTGTTCTTGAGGAGGTGGGATATCCATTTGGTTCTGATTGAGGGGAGGATCCTGGGCTTGCTGGGGTTGCCAAGGAAAGATCAGTGGATTGTCAATGGTCATCTCCAGTGGGAAGAAGAATGGGAGGTTTGGTGGAATATTCATGTTGAGAGGGGGGGTTGAAGTGTGGGGGGAGGTTCCAATGGTGGTGCATGTTGTGGTAAAGCGCGGGTGCTAGAGCTGGGGCTAAGGGATCTAGCACGTTGGCCATCCACATGTGGTTTAGATAGTTGTCTAGTGCCAATCTCATGCCTTCCGATATCATTTGCGCCAGGAAGGTTGGATTCTGAAGAACTATCAGTACCTCCCTGCCTTCTATAGTCATGGTGAAGAAGACTGGTTGGCCCTGCAACCCTTGCTCGATCCATGACTGCGGTTGCTGTGCAGGGTTGGGAGGATGTGCTACATACACTAGTTGTTGGTGAGCTATGTGAGGGGGCATGGGAGGAAAATTCTCCATTGGATTCATTGGAGGCCTGAAGTGGTAGAGAGTTGGATATCTTGTTAATAGAGGAAGGAGGGGAATTATCATACTGAGATGCTGGAGAGGGTATTAATGGGGCCTCATTAATAGGGTGAGGACAAGAGAGTGATGATTGAGAATCTCTGTCGTGAGATTTATTAGAGGATGTATTGGTTAATTCTTGTGTGGAGTAGTGTTTATTAGGGGCTAGTGTATCAACTTGCATGGCCATTTGTCCATCCGCCATAGCCGCGTGTGTTAGTGAGGAGTTTTGAGGGTTTTGATTGGGTTGTTTTTTTGCAACTTGGGGCCTACCAAATAGGTTATTAGAAGATTCTGAGGGACTTGAGAGTAATTCTTTTTCATTAGGCATAGTAGGTTTACACACGTTTATGACACGTGTCGCGTTTGTTTGAGAAAGCTGTTTTGTTTGTATCGAAGAAGATGGGGAATGCAGAAAGGTTGCGTTAAACAATTGGTTTGGCTCTTCACCTTCTTCATCAGGTGGGTGGAGTGGATTAAATTTATTGGAGAGTTTGATCTTCTCATTAATGGAACTTTCTTGCATTATGCTTTTGTTATTAACGACACCCCGTGGGATGCAGATATTAGAAGAGTTTTTATTCAAATTGTCTTGATAGTTTATGTCCATTTTCCCAGGCTGCTGGGTATTTGATTGGGACGAGGTGGTGTGGGAATCATTATTTTTAACCTTGAAAGAAAGTTTTTGGGAGGAGGGTACTTACCTGAATCCGCTGCATAAATTTTAATGTTTATACCTGTAGTAGGATTTTCTTGCTGGGTAGTAGTCGTGGCTTGCTCCATTTTTGCCTTTAACCTATTGTTTTGCCTCTTTTTCCTGCCAAAGAGCACTGTCTGCCACTCTTCCTCTTGTACGTGATTTTTATAGGGTTGGCCGTTGATGCCATTCTTTGCAGATTTTTCTGGGTCATGTCCTTTGATCTCTTGGTACTGGTATCTTGATCTAGTATGGCCTAACCTTCCACATAATTTGCATAGGAAGCCCTCTCCTTCATAGATTATTTGCTGCAGATGTGAGCCAATAGGGATCCGTGTTGTGACTGGTTCCTCTAATGGAACTTGGATGCACAACCTAGCATACCGTCCTCTGAGAGTGGCACTCGTACAAGCATCAATTTTCAGCAGTGATCCAATAGAATTCCCAATTTTCCTCAGTAAGGCTACATCATAAAACTCCGTGGGGAGTTGTGGCAATCGTACGCAAACCGCAGAGACAGTTTGTTGTGCCTCTGCGGCTACAAAATTTGTCTCCCACAACGCTTAATTGATAGAAAGTGTCCATTAACAAACCATGGCCTATTTTGGAGGACCTTCCGCATGTTTTCTTCTTGCGTGAACTTTACAATGTAATAGTCATAGCCTAGGTCTATTAGAGGAAATTGTTCCGTAGGTTTCCACAACTCTTGTATTTTTGCTTTTAGGTAGTGGTGAACTATTCTTTTTCCAAAGAGTTTGATAATCAATGAGAATTTCCAAGGGTAGTGAAGTCTTTCCTTTTCTTGTTCTGTGAGGGGAATTGCTTTGATTTCACCAACATATGAAGATGACTTTTCTTGTGGTTGGATAGCTGCTCTAGTATTTGAATCTTGTATTTGTCCATCATCAATGGCATCCATATCAAAATCAATTTGTTCTTCATTTGCAAGCAACTTTTCCTTGAAGTTGAGTGGAGGGCTGTTATGCATTGTGTTTGGTAATATTTTTGGTGAGATGTCTGGTGGTTTTGGGGGAATTTGTGATGATTCCAGGCAAAGAGTATTTGTGTTCGTAGAGAGCATTTCCCTTGACAAGACTTGTTAACTCTCTAAATTCTTAAAATTAGTTCATCGAAAGTTTCATATATTTAATTGTAACATGAAAGGGATTACAATTATGTTACATCATCAAATAAAAAAATTATATAAGGTAATTAAAATTTAATTTATTTAAAATACCGATTGCTTCTACATAGTTTAAATGAGAAAATAAAGTTTTAGTTAATTTTCAAGTCCTAAATATAAAGATATTATAGTTATGTTAAATAATTCTAGTAAGGAAGGATTAAGAAACTATTGGCTAAAATAGAAACCTGAATATTAGTCTCAAAATTCCATATGGTTACTATGTTTGACCCCCAAAATACATATATTGATACGACGTTTTATTATAGCATTCCAAAAGATTTTGTTTGTTGAATTGTTCCTAAATAATTTTGTAATTTAATTATATACTATCTAGCATTCCTTAAAATTCCACTAATAAGCATTAAAGTAGTTATCGTAACAATGGTTGCATTTGTAAACTTGCTCCGACGTGTCATACTTTTTTTCTTTATTTTCTATTAGTAGTCTATGTAAGTAAGATTTTATTTGAGTTTAAATTCCTGAATCTTAGGGGTTTTACATAATCTAAAAAAAGAAGGATTTTGATTACCAAAATTTTAGCTAACTTCAAAGTCCATAATATTAGGAAAATAACTTAAATTACTTTTTTGTCCTATGTAAAATTTATTTTTTAAGGGTAAAAAAGGCGAACGACATTTCGCTAAGGGCATTCGTGCTTTTAATATAGTAATATTATATATATATATATATATATTAATATATATATATATATATATAATATATTATATATATAGAATATAGATAGATAGATATAGATTTATATGTGTCTGTATTGTATGATTGAGAGCGATAACGTACAATTAAGAATAATATCAGGGGATTGGCAAATCTTGAGTTTGTCTTTCCAATGATGTGAACAAAATCATGGGAATATAAAAAAATTGATACGTTCAGTTTGAAGTTGTTACTATAATCAGAAAATAATGATCATTATTACGCCTCAATTCCAAATAAGTAAATCAGCTATATGAATTCTCGTTGATCATGTTTCTTAAATAAGTAAACTCATCTCAGGCCAATACTATACGGAATAAAAAGTATTAGAAGTTTTTTATATTTTCTACTGACATGTAAAAAACTCGTGCGTGAGAGTTACTAACAAAGCTAATGAACAAAATTTATTTCTAAAACGACCAAAAGACTTTCTAATCCATGATGTTGCATTATTCATGATACTATGTGAATAAATACAATATATTGGTTTCTTTTTAATTTTAATTTTTAATTTCATTTTGGATGTATAGGAATATGCGAGTGATGCAATTTAAATGGTGGCCACGAGTCAATTTGATCTATAAAAGTGAATGCTGAAGACTATTTGAGCTATTGTGATGTTTGAATACATTTGATTTGTGGAGTTCATTCGTAGTGTAACAACTTGAAACATTACTTTATTAGTATGTGTAGTAATAAGAAATATGTTTTATTTCGATGTTTATTACAAATATATGCATTTGAATTATTGTTATTACTTAGTGCTTGAGATTATCAAAATAGAAGAATAGTGTATTTCAAGTAAATGTGAATACAAGGTATATGAAAAAATATGTAATTATTGAACCAAAAAATTGTGGCGTTAAATATATTTTAACCTAGATAAAATTGCAACGCTTCATAAGTGTGTGCTATAGGGATGTCAACTATATGGCCTAATGATTGTAGAGTGGCATGAACATTAACAAAGGCTACACTTCCGAAGTGTTAGCGTTAGAAGTAACACTCCAAAAGCGTGGCCTATAAGGTAGCAAAGGCCACGCTTCATACATGTAGCTTTAGGACATAAAGAATGTTGCCATATGAGGTACTATAAAGCGTGGCTTTTGTTTCTTATAGGCTACGCTTTTAAGGTGTGGCTTTCAAAGCAACACTTGAAAAGTGTGGCCTTAGGAAAAAGGTTACGCTAGTTTAGACCACCCTCCGAAAAGTGTTGCCTAAAAGTGAAAAGTGTAGTCTTTGATCAAATACCACACTTGTAAATAGTTTAGGCCACACTTTTCAGGGGTGGTTAATGGCCTAAAATGTTGTAGTGCATCAATATATCTTGGTAAATAATAGATTTCTCAAAGGACAATTGATTTGATAGTGTTACATTGAAAATGTGGTCGCCGGAATATGTGTTTGGTAGTGTATGTCTTATATTTAAGAAAAAACCGACAAATAACCGAAAAAACCGAAAAACCGACATAAGCCGAATCGAGAAAAACCGACTTAATTGGTTTTGTTTGGTTCTAATATTTGAAAAACCGACTTACTTGGTTTGATTTCTTTTTAGGGAAAAACCGATCCAAACCGAACCATGAACACCCCTACTGATAGGAATGGGAGGGAAAACATGGGTCCACAAAAGGGCGTGTTCACAAAATTCAACTGTAGGACAATACATCGACAGTTAGGCCTAGGGGTTCCTGCTTTGATGCATATAGATGTGTCAAAGAAGAAAGCTTAAAAGGTATATGATCAACGTTAAACTCAATTATGGTATATTATTAGTAGAGAAATTATATAGACAGGCCTTACTTCACTTTCTGCAATATTTCTTGAAGCAAATCCCATTACCTGAGTTTCTATGGGTAAGCTTATTGGTTTGTTCATTCTTGTTACAGCCATTCCCATTTATGTGGGGGATTGTTGGACTTTAAAGGCATTGGGCTTCAAAGACTTTAAGCATTGGGCTTTAAAGTCTAAGAGTGTGAATTGGAAATGGTGGGAAATAAAATGGAGGGAAATGAAAATTTGAATAAAGTGAGCTTTTGACTTGCACTTTGTCCCTCATTGGTGAGGGACAACTACATTTGTGTGCTTATATATAGAATCACTCCTTAAAGCTCTTAAAAGGAGTTAAAGAGAATGAACCCTCACGTCGTCGTTGCTCGGCTTGGCTTCGGCTTCGGCTTCGGCTTGGATTTGATTGGATTTGGATTTGGAAAATGATCGATCGATAAGATTATTTTTGGACAAAATTTATTTAATTAATTAATTAATAATTAATTAAATGCCAGATCACTGCTGAAGATTCAGAAGGATAGTCTAGCCGCGGTCCTGGCGTAACCGAGGTAGGACTGCGCCAGAACACTGCTGCAGATTCAGAAGGCTAGTTTGGCCGCGGTCCTGGCGTAACCGCGGTAGGACGCGTAAACTTTCAAGGAAGCAATGTCTTCCTCAGAAGCACAATATTGGAAAGAAGCTGTCAATAGTGAAATAGAATCCATATTGAGCAACCATACCTGGGAATTGATTGATCTTCCTCCAGGTAACAAAACATTGGGTTCTAAACGGATTTTCAAGAAAAAAATGAAAGACGATGGTACTATTGACAAATACA